GAGAGAGAGCATATCAGCACAACGCAGCGACGGGAAACGTTTAATAATGTTTTCCTACTCGAGCACTTCGTATTGTTTGTGTCTGTCTGTCTGTCTGTCTGTGTGGGCGCGGTGGACTGGTCCGAGCTGCCAAGCGACCAATTTGTCAAGGTAACATGGACATTCCATCTTCCACTCCCTCCCGCTTCCCCCCTGATCTCTACTGCACTCTCCTCACTTCTCCTCCCTCACCTCCTAACCCCATCAACCTCACTCACCATCACCTCCTCACCCCACCTCATCTCATCCTCCTCACTTCCCTCAACCCAACGTTTGGGTTGAGGGTCATCACACGCTGTTTGTTGTCCTCCTCCACACACTTGAGTGCCACTAAGAGCCGTCTAGGTCCTCTTCCTGAGTTTTTGAGGCCTCTGCAAACTGCCCTCAATTTTGGAGGTGGGTGGAGGGGTGGGTGGGGAGTGTTGAGGGTGGTGGAGGGGGAAGGGTGGGTGGAGGGAGTGTTGAGGGTGGGTGGAGGGAGGTTGAGGGGTGGGGGAGGGAGTGTTGAGGGGTGGGTGGAGGGGAGGTTGAGGGTGGTGGAGGTGTGTTGAGGGTGGGTGGAGGGTGGGTGGAGGGTGTTTGAGGGGTGGGTGGAGGGTGGTGGAGGGAGTTTGAGGGAGTGTTGAGGGTGGGTGGAGGTGTTGGGGTGGTGGAGGGGTGTTGAGGGTGTGGAGGAGTGTTGAGGGTGGTGAGGGTGTAGATATGGTTGTAGATCAGTAAATGTTTTAGGGGATAATCTAGTCAAAGTATCGTATTAGGGAGTCAGTCAGTCAGCTAGTCAGGCAGTTAGTCAGTCAGTCAGTCAGTTGGTTAGACAGTTAGTCAGTCAGTCGGTTACTCAGTCAGTCAGTTAGGCACTTAGTCAGCCAGTCAGTCAGTTGGTTAGACAGTTAGTCAGTCAGTCGGTTACTCAGTCAGTCAGTTAGGCACTTAGTCAGCCAGTCAGTCAGTTGGTTAGACAGTTAGTCAGTCAGTCGGTTACTCAGTCAGTCAGTGAGGCACTTAGTCAGCCAGTCAATCAGTTGGTCAGACAGTTAGTCAGTCAGTCAGCCAGCCAGTCAGTTGGTCAGACAGTTAGTCAGTCAGTCATCTGGAACTAATTTTATTCATCAGTGAACCGACATCAAACACCTTCTCTCCCTCCACCTCCTCCTCCAATATCTTGTCTTCCTCCTCCTCCAACACCTTCTCCAACAACTTTTCCTCTTCCAAGACCTCCAACATCTCCTCCTCCAATATCTATTCATCTTCCTCCTCCAATATTTGCTCATCCTCATCTTCTTTTTCCCCCTCCTCTTCCTCCAACACCTCCTCTTCCTCCACCTCCAGCCTCCTCCTCCTCCTCCTCCTCCTCCTCCTCCTCCCCTCCTCCTCCTCCTCCCCTCCTCCTCCTCCTCCTCCTCCACCCCTCCTCCTCCTCCTCCACCCCCTCCTCTTCTCCTCCACCTCCTCCTCCTCCACCTCCACCACCTCCTCCTCCACCTCCTCCTCCTACACCTTTTCACAACTGCTTCCAAACTTCCGGCACGTGACCACTTGTCTGTAAGACTTCCAAGATTACGTGTCACCTCCTCGAGCTCTCACACACTTGAAGTCGCACCAGCTCCTCACCTCATTGTTTAAAAATATGAAAACCATTTTTTTAACCCTTGACTACGATGACTTAACCCATTGACCACGATGACTTAACCCCTTGACCACGATGACTTAACCCCTTGACTACATGATGACTTAACTCCTTGATTACGATGACTTAACCCTTGATCGATGACTTAACCCCTTGACCACTATGACTTAACCCTGACCACGATGACTTAACTTGACCCCTTAGTACGATGACTTTACCCCTTACCACGATGACTTAAGCCATTGACTACGATGACTTAACCCCTTTACCACGATGACTTAAGTCATTGACTACGATGACTTAACCCCTTGAGTACAATGACCCCAACCCCTTGAGTGCTTGGACTTTATCTCCCTCAAGTATGATGACAACCCATTAAGTACGGTGACTTCTTTGAGTATGTTGATATATCCCCATGAGTACAATAACTTACCCCCCTTGAGTTCGATGACATCTTATGAATTACGAAGAATTAACCCCTTCAGTAAGATTAAGTAACCCGTTGAGTAAGAGAGAGAGAGAGAGAGAGAGAGAGAGAGAGAGAGAGACTAGATCGTTGTAGCTTATATTAATAACAGAACTATATACGTACACCCTTGATCCTATAAATGTATGGAACAAAATGGAAGCAACACGAAATAAACACGAAAATAAAAGGAAAAAAATAAAGTTTAAATAAAGATTCTTCATCAGGTGTTCTCTTGACCTGTATGGCCAAGACAGATGCGCTCTCTGTTTAATTTGTCCACGAGTCTTCCAACCTTCCCTTCCTCGGGTATGGGTCTTATGGGAGGGTATGGGTTCTATGGGAGGGTATGGGTCCTATGGGAGAGTATGGGTCCTATGGGAAGGTACATTTGAAGTCCCAGATGAAAGCCAGGTGGGAGGACTCGCTGAAGGACCTACCGAGTGTTGATTGATTAATTTTCTTCCAGAACCAACCAATCGAGGAGTGGCACTGAAGGTCCCCTGTTATTGGTTACTTTTTTTGTTCACATCCAACCAATCAGGGAGTGGCGTTCGAGGGTCCTGAAGGTCGCCGCCTCTCTCACTTGTTCCTTTTGTGATTGAACCATCAACACGAGACCACTGCTTCTGTTTTTCTTATATTCTTTATTTTGCTTCTTTCTTCATTCTTCTTATTTTTTCATCATTCAACTGTGAGTCTTTCCTTTCTTCATTGGTTATTTCATTTCTCCATCTTTTCTCTTTTTATTCTTTCTTCGGTAATTTTATTCTTTTATCACTGGTGTTTTTTTATTTCTACTTTTTTCTTCTCTCTATTTTTTTTTAATTCCTAATATTTTTCTATGCAAAGATTTTTTCCCCAGTATCTTTTATTTCCTATTTGTACCTGCTGTTTTTTCCCTTAATCATTTGTTTTCCTCTAATAAAAGTCCTGTTGATCTTCCATTCATTTCCCAATTACGTCTCTTCAATATTTTCCTTTTGTTAATTTATTTTTCCTTTCTTCCTTACTTTCTAACTTCGTTCCTTCCTTCCTCTCCAAACCTTCTTCAGCGCTGAGAAACTTTCCTAAATTAATGGTGGTGGTGTTGTTGTTGTGTCTCAGTGGTGAGGACACATTTTCCCGCGTCTCAGTTCCTTTCTAGAAGTTTTAGGGGCTTATCCCTTGTTTGCTTTGAGTGAGGAGTTTGGTTTCCGCGTAATTTGGAAATCCATCCGTACTTCTCCCCCCTCTCCCCCACCGCCCCCGCTTTTAGCCCCTTTTTATGTTTTTCCAGAGTAATATTTGGCGGTTAGTTTTTCCGTGTAATTTTGGACGATTTTTTGTTTTCGCAATTTTGACGATTTTTTGGTTTTCCCGTAATTTTGACGATTTGGTTTTCCGCGGAATTTTTGACGATTTTTGTTTTCCGTAATTTGGACGATTTTTTTTTTGTTTCCGTGTAATTTTGACGATTTTTTGGTTTTGAATTTTTGACGATTTTTTTCCCCGTGTAATTTTTGACGATTTTTTTGGTTTTCCCAAGGAATTTTCGACGATTTTTTGGTTTTCCCGCGTAATTTTCGACGATTTTTTTGGTTTTCCGCGGAAGTTAGAACTCCTCACTCCTGTGTTTTGGGAAGGAGTTTCGTTCTGTTCATTAAGGAAAGGACTTTAGGTGGGAGAGAGAGAGAGAGAGAGAGAGAGAGAGAGAGAAGGGTGATAATAGAGAGAGAATGGTAATATAAGAGAGAGAATGGTGATATATGAGAGAAAATGGTGATAAAAGTGAGAGAGAGAGAGAGAGAGAGAGACTGCTGGGACTGTGTGGTGAGTGTGTCGAGGTGGAGAAACACAGTCTTATAAATCATTCACCTGCCTCCGATATTGTTCCTGGCTCGGGAGGAAGAAGAGGAGGAGGAGAAGAAGAAAAATATACAGAAGATGAAGAAGTAAATCAACAAGATGATGAAGAACAAAAGCAGACAAGAACAACAACAACAACAACAACAAAAAGAAGAACAAGAAGAAAAGAAACAAAAGAAAAAACAACAAGAACAAGAAGAAGAGAACAACGAAATAACGAAATAGAAAGAATAGAATAAAGAGAAGAGATATAAAGTAAAATATTACACCAATAGAATATATAAAGGAAAAGATAACCACAGTAATTAGATAGTTATTATAGGTGTGATAAACAGTATTACCACATCCGGTTTTGGGCATCACCTTCACTATCCTTATGGCTTTAAAACCTTCCTATATTCTGATGTTTCTGGTAACACTGTCAATGAAGATATTTATTTCACCTGTATTTAATAACTTGTGTTTGTACCTTTGTTTGTACCTGTGTTTGTACCTGTGTTTGTACCTGTGTCTGTACCTGTGTCTGTACCTGTGTTTGTACCTGTGTTTGTACATGTGTCTGTACCTGTGTCTGTACCTGTGTTTGTACCTGTGTTTGTACCTGTGTCTGTACCTGTGTCTGTACCTGTGTTTGTACCTGTGTTTGTACATGTGTCTGTACCTGTGTTTGGTTTTTATAGTAATGATGTTGGTGTTATAGTGTATAATTTTTTCTCTCTGGCAATAATGAGAGAGAGAGAGAGAGAGGAGAGAGAGAGAGAGAGAGAGAGAGAGAGAGAGAGAGAGAGAGAGAGAGAGACCCAGAGTCGACCTAACGCGTTAATACCAAAACATCAGTTAATAAATCTTTACTCTTATCACCAGCCAGGACCTTTAGGGGCTGATCTAAACTCAATTATCTCCACCTGCATTATCTCACCTCTCTCACTCTTATCTCCTCTCCTCTCGCACTCTCCCAGACACTTTCACACACTCACTAATCCATTAACCAAACGCACTCTTTTTTTTTTCTTTCCGCAGATCGATGTAACGTTGTGTGTGTCCATGGGGAGTGCGACAAAGGTGGGTGCGAATGTGAGGCTGGGTGGACAGGTGATCGGTGCGACCAGAGGGCGTGCGACAGTCGTTGTAATCTCCACGGACAGTGTCACAACGGTACTTGCGTCTGTGTGCAGGGATGGAACGGCAGACACTGTACTATACGTGAGTGCTGTGGTGGCTGTGTTTATCGTTGTGGTAGTAGTAGATTAAATAAAAATAGTAGTAGTAACAGTAGTAGTATAAGTAAAAATAGTAGTAGTAATACATGTCCTACCCCATGACCCATTGCATATCCACCCCCCCCTTATTAAACCAGGGACTACACAATGGTCAGTGCCCATTACGTACCCACACCCACAAAGCATTGCTATTTATCCCACCCATGCCCTACCTCACCCCTCCCCCATAATTAACCTTTACCCATACCCCCATTATTCAAGCAATAACCTAACCCATGAACTGTTATACCTATACCCATTAGTTATCTTAGCCAGCCTACCCCCCATGATTCCACCAAATGACTCACCCATGATTCCATCAGATTTTGACATTACCCATAATCTTAACCCCATTACCCCATTTTCCAGCTGGGTGTGTGAATGGGTGTTCGGGCCACGGCATGTGTACCACGGTGGACCGGCAGTACCTGTGTGAGTGTTCTGACGGCTGGACCGGTCCTGACTGCTCGGTCCAACTAGAGACCAGATGTAACGATGAGATTGACAATGACGGAGGTGAGTACAGTTTCATGTGTCTGTTTAGAAACCTTGAGTACATAAATTTAGAAACCATAAGCTACATAATATTAGTTTAGAAGTCTTGGTTTATACAGGAATTTAGAAACATTACTTCACACGTCAATTTAGAAACCTTACTGTATGACACAATTTAGCAAACAAATCTAAAAAAAAATATACTTTATACACCAAGTTAGAAACCATATTGCAGATCTCATAATACAAAAAATATCCCCTCAATTACGGTAAGTCTTTTTCAGTCTGGTGAGAGAAACATTTATTCACTTAGTTTTTTCTGTACCTAACACCTGTTCCATTTGACTTAACTGATGGATGTTATTGTATCGTTCGTGAGGGATGTTTGTTTTCATTCCTTTCTCACGCCGGTGACCAGGTCTTGACCCACCCTGTAAACAAAAAACTTTCGTAATGTTATTGTTTTTGTTATGTGAGTTTTGTTGTGCGTAACGGTGCAGATATTTATTTGTATGTGTGTGTGTGTGTGTGTGTCGGTCGTGAACATGCGTGTACGTTTGTGTCTGCATGTGGTCCGCCCTGCCCCCATCCTGCACCGTCCTGCCCCCATCCTGCACCGTCCTGCCCTGTCCTACGCACTAGTTTCCATTATAACCTGGCAGTAACGAGAGAGAGAGAGAGAGAGAGAGAGAGAGATTAACTAGTCCCTCATTAAGGAACGGTTGATTATAGGTGAGCAGTGGGATCCTCAGGTGAGAGAACTCATTACGTCATTATCTCACTCAACCAAACATTTTACCTTGGCTGAGATGGGGAGGAGCCGAGTGCTGATCTGAGGAGGCGCTGACGGGGAGGTACAGAATCCAAACTCTGTAGAAATGAAATAGGAAAGGAGGAGGAGGAGGAGGAGGAGGAGGAGGAAATGGAGTGAATGGAAGGGAGGAAGGAAGGGTTCAGAAGGAGAAAGAAGAGGAAGGAAAGAAGGAAGCGACCTCCTAGTCTCACCTTCTGAAGATCTGGAGAGAGAAAGAGAGAGAGGCGGTAATGAGATGAGAAGATTGAAGGTGAAGGAAAGTTGAGAAGGAGGGTGAAGAGGGAGATAAGATTGGAGGAAGAATAAGTTGGAGGATGGGCACGAAAGATGGCAAGGAAGTAGAATGAAGAGGAGAATTGGGAGAAAGGGGACAATGCAGAAAATAGGACGAATGGGAGAAGATAAGACTGGAAATGAAGAAGAAGTATGAGGAGGGAGAGAGAGAGAGAGAGTTAAAATGGGAGGAGAGGTGATAAGGAAGATGGACCTGGTAGTAGGGATTTGGAAGGATAAGAATATGATGAAGTTAGAATAAGGGAAGAGGGTGGAGGAGGTGCGATGGGGTGGCGAGACACACACACACACACACACACACACACACACACACACACACACGCACACGCTGCTATTAATGTTTACGTAATGCTAAGACCTTCGCCTCTTATAACTTCTTTTCTCGTATACTATAATGTCTTTCTTGTTTGTTTATTTATTTTTTAGTTACGTCTCTTAATCTCTTCGGCTTTGTTACAGTATATAATGTACACTCTTGGATCTAGCCGTAATAAGGTAGCCAGTTCTCGGAAATTAATATTGACTCTTGGCACACACCTACACAGTCTCTCTCTCTCTCTCTCTCTCTCTCTCTCTCTCTCTCTCTCTCTCTCTCTCTCTCTCACTGATGAGATGCACCTCACCGCATCACCTGAGACTCCATATTGGCCAAGCAGATCCTTCGTGTCACCCAGCTCGTCCTCTTCCTCCCCCAAGGATCCCTCGGCCTGATTTACTGGCCTCCTACAGCCTCCAGCGTCCCATCCTACCTCCCATCTCCGACGTGAGACAATCTCCTTTTCCTCCCCCTCCCCTCTCCCATCCCACCGGCCTTGCCCACTCATTTCGCGCCTTCCCTTTCATTTCTAGGTAATTTCTTGCGCATCTAGAGGGTCACTTGGTCTGACGAAGGGTCTGTCTAGATCCAGTCATAGAGCTCTCTAGGAGATGAAACCCAGCTATTGTCTAGGTAGTGAGGGGTGTGGCTGTGAGGGCTGGTGGGTGTGGCTGGGAGGAGGATGAGGGATGGTGGGTGTGTGGCTGTGAGGGCTGGTGGGTGTGGCTGGGAGGAGGTTGAGGGGTGCTGGATGTGGCTGTGAGGGCTGGTGGGTGTGGCTGGGAGGTGGATGAGGGATGGTGGGTGTGTGGCTGTCAGGAGGGTGAGAGGTGTGGCTGCGAGGTGTGGTTAACAATTGAAACTGTTGAAGAATGAGGAGGAGGGAAGAGCTCTAACGCCAGGTGTAGCCGTGGAGTGTGACCTACTGTAATACACTGTACCAAGGTGTAAGAGAGTCGGAATAAGTGTATCTGTCACTGTGGCTAAGGTGTGCCAAGTGACAGTACCAGGTTAATTAGGTATTAGTGTCTTACCTTCGTTATCTCAAGGTTATACAGTGAAGTACCGAAACTTGTGGGGTGTGTTTGTTTGTGGTGGTGGTGGTGGTGTGTGTTGGTGTTTGTGTTGGTGATGTATAGTGTTGGTGATGTGTGGTGTTGGTGGTGTGTTGGTGAATGGTTGTGTGACTAGTATGTGTGGTGGTTGGTGTGTTGGTGATATGCTTGTGGTGGTGTGTGTTGGTGATTACGGTGATAATGGTGGTAGTGTGTGTCAGTGATGGTGATGTGTGTTGGTGGTTATGGTGATAATGGTGGTGGTGGTGGAGATAATGAAGATAGGGTGGTGATCACGAGGTTGGAGAAAGCAGTAATTATAGAGACGAAACATTCACTGCGAGTAGAGACAAGAGGGACGCGGGACAAGTATTGATGACTACTGTACCGTCAACAACACCAGCAGCTAACACACAGTAGGAGGAAGAGGAGCAGTACTGACAACATCAACAGTAGAGGCATCAGCAATAACAGCAGCAGCCTTAAAAAACAGAAAGAACAGCAGACGCAGTGACAGCCAGAGCAACAACAGCAGGAGCAGCAGCAGCAGAGGAAGCTGGCCGAGTCTGCCCCTGACATCCCGCGCACGCTTAAAACGAGACTTTTACCTGCTGTCCCGCTGTTTCACTGTTGTTCGTCTCGTGTAGTTATGTCTCACCTGAACACAGATCAAAGAACCTCTCTTCTGGGAGCTAATGACTTGAAGCTTGGCCATTTGCCATTTTAAAACCCTCGCCTGTGTGAAGACCCCCCCCCCTCCCCATTATTTTTTGTCAGGATAATCACGAGATTCTTTCTTCATTTAACCTCGTAAATGTTTATATACTGGGATAAAAAAAACACACACATGGAAACGCATTCTTACCACCTTGTACCTCCCACTCGGTTGGTATAGTAACCAATCAAAACCCAGCTTTTTGTTGTTTCCCCTCAAAGGCAGGCTTGTGATTGGGCCGAAACATTAGGTCTGATAGAGGTGAGTGGTGGCGGAAGGGGGCGGAGCTGTGTGTTATTGTTAAAGATAAATCCAGGACGTGATGGGGAACCCAACCAGGTGGGTCAGCTACTGTACACTACCAGGGGGTGTAGGGCTCCGGTCAGGGGGTGTAGGGGCCCGGTCAGGGAAAGTAGGGGCCGGTCAGGGGGGTAGGGCCTGGTCAGGGGGTGTAGGGGGGTGTAGGGCTCCGGTCAGGGAGTGTAGGAGGGTGTATCAGTGGTTCGGCCAGTGGTGTAGTGGCCACGTCTTGGGTTGGCCAAAGACTTAAAGTGTAGTGGCCAAGTCATGATATCTGGGTTGTAAAGCTGTGTACTGGCCACCTTTGCCGCCGGACACAATTCCTGGGAATTTGTCTGGTCGGGAGAGGATTTTGTCCGAGAAACTGTCCAGTGAGATTTTGTTCTGTGAGAGTTTTGTTCGATACGATTTTTCCCGTTTTACAGGCGATCCCTTCATCCCCCCTCTCACCCCTTCCCCTTTCCCTTTCCCTTTCCCTTCCCTCCATTTCCCCCTCCCCCGCCCCCAGCACCACCAGCGGCTTATCCCCGCTTCTGTCAAAGTTGTGCAGATTACCTGGAGCAAGTCTCTCGGGGCTTGTAGTACCCATCACATAAAGTGTTAAAGAAATTGAAAAGTGGATAAGAAGAGGTTGAATAAAGTATTACATGGACAGAATAGTACGAAAGCAGCTGTGTGTGTTTGTGTATAAATGTGTCACGTCCACCTTATCTATAATAATAAAAGGACGTGTCTGTCTGTCTGTCTGTCTGTCTGTCTGTCTGTTCCAACCATAACTCCAAAACGGAAGGAGTTAGAGACGTGAAACTTTACACACATATTACCTGGGTGCCAAGGTTGTGCACTATTGACCACGGACCCTCGGGTGGTCTGGACACGAACCAAAAATCTTCCCGAATGAGATATCGTCAGGGAGGACAAACTGACAGACTCACTCACACACTGACGGAATACACTAAACTTAGCTCCTCTTTGGTTTAATATAGAGGTGAAATAGCAGAAGAGAGTAAATGTTAATAAAAAATAAATCGGTGATCATTTAAACAGGCAGTGGTAAGGTGGTGCGTTACAACAGACATCCACTATAGTCCTCCATTACCCCCCTCCTCTCCCCCCCCTCTCCCCTCCTCCCTCCTCCCTCCCCTCTCCCCTCCCCCCTCGCCCCACCAGGATGTTAGCATCAATTTAAAATGAATTTTACGGGAATGTCGCCCCAACTTTTTGAGCAAATACAGCAAAAACTCGGGTGTGTGGCGGACGGTAATGACATACTCTTTTTGGGGGGAGGTTTTCATCTCTGAAGCCTCCACTCTCAGCTGCTGTGATGGTGCCGCCTCTGATAATGTGGCTGTTTTATTATGTAGGTCTGTCTGTCTGTCTGTGTGACTCTCTCTCTCTCTCTCTCTCTCTCTCCTAAATGGGTGTGTCATTCACCGCCGCACATTATAAAAAAACTTATTGTCATTAGTCACGACCTCATCCCTTCCCCTCCCTCCCTCCGTCCCTCCTCCCCCTTCTCCTTCCCCT